CTGTCTGTGTGTGTGTGTCTGTCTGTGTGTCTGTCTGTGTGTGTGCATGTGTATGTGCATGTGCATGTGCATGTGTATGTGTCTGTGTCTGTGTCTGTGTCTGTGTCTGTGTGTATGTATGTATGTATGTGTCTGTCTGTGTGTCTGTCTGTGTGTCTGTCTGTGTGTCTGTCTGTGTGTCTGTCTGTGTGTGTATGTGCATGTGTGTGTGCATGTGTATGTGCATGTGTATGTGCATGTGTATGTGTATGTGTATGTGCATGTGTATGTGTATGGCTCATAGAAACTCAAGCATCTGGGAATAATTAGAAGACATCATTCTTTACTGATGCAACAGGCAGTCACCCACAATCGCATACAGATCCATGACTTCTCTGTGTTTCTGTCTGTCCGCTCCATTTCAATGTCCCTTTATAAGCAACAACATTTTGTAAAGCATGCAATGTCTGTATTAGTGGCACCAAATTAGAATCCAGTAGACATAAAATAAAGTATTTGTAATTTTGAGAAAACAAGACAGAAAAAAGGAGTCTGTGCAGTTTGGAAAACTAATCATTTTTGCAATTCTGTTTGCTGCCACTAAAACGAAATAAACCTTAAAATGAAAACCATTTGTTGTTATGAGTATCTATGAACGATAGTATGCTTTATTAGATTTCTAAAGGGTTTTTTAGGTTTCATGCAATTAAAATGACTTGTTTTCTCTGGCAGCTGGTATGTTCACTTCAGCGTGGCCTTAAGAAATATTAACACCCAGTAACAGCAGTGAAATTAATATTAGTATTTAAATATATTTAAATAGTTCTTTCAAATTGTAAAAATATTTCGTAATATTAAGCAGCTGAGAAGAGCAGCATGCCCCTTTAATGCAGTACAGCATATGGTCAATACCCAAAGTTTAGGCAACAGCATGTTGCCCTATCCAGATAATCGTTAGCATTTAATAACACGTTTAGTAGCAAAATCTACATACTACAAGTTAAGCAACAAGCACATTACCGATACACTGTATAGCTTTAAGCAACAGCATATCACAGACTTATTGAGACCTCACATTAAACTTCAGTATGAAAGCTGATGGCTCTTTAATGCATTGCCGCTTCAGTGCTGAGTACTGTAGCCTGAAACCGCAACTAATAACACAGAGTCTATATCGCCGCATGCAGGCATGCATACAGGCCCGGCTCCAGAATCAAATCACTGAGGGTGCTTCTTAAATTAGTGAGGGTGCTGTAACCTTTCATAATCACTAAAAAGCTGTCACTCATAGTTCATCGCAATCTCACAAAGATACGTTATTATCAATAAAGTTCTCTACGCTGCACAAGGCATCAACACTTTGTTATAATGAGATGATTCGTACTGAACTAGGGTGACCATACGGGCCATTTTTATGGGACGCGTCCTTGCCAGGATTTCTATATTTCCTGAGCTATCCAGGTTGTGCAGATCGATCGTTGTTTGACATTCACGAGAGCTATAGAGAGCAGAGCAGACGGCTCCTTATGCTTTCGAATCACTCTCGTGGTACTTTGGTGTCATTCAATAATCGGTGCGCAGCGGCGCTTCAAGTCGAACAAAGGAACAAACACGTGTGCGTATTTGCATCGCTTTGATCGTTCTCTGTAGATCTCACCTTCTCACGCGACACGATTGGTCGATTATATACAATACCTGCATGTTGTTGGTCAAGCTACTTTGGATGTTTTAGGCAAATCCTGGCCAGGACGATATGGCCACCCGATACTGAACACAATACCAGAACAAAACCTCTGGCGATTTGAGCGGTGAGTGGATTCTAACTTAAACGCCTCTGATTCAAGAAATCAACAGATATGACTGTGATTGGCTACATTGCTCAACGCTGCAAAAACACATTGAAACAGAAATCGATCTCCAGAGCGCAAACCGTAACACACTGGATAGTTTGCCAAATCTGCAATAAAATGCCATTAATACAGCTTTAACTGAGGGTGCTTTTGATTTCGTTTGAGGGTGCTCAGCACCGGGCCTGGCGTGTGAGCTGATGCGCAGCCCTGCATGAACCTATGGATTCAATTTGAAATAAATTTTGTTTAGTAGAATGGTGCTATTTAAAAAAAAATTTCCTATATGCGCTGTCAAATACAAAATGAAACTGCGCTAATGATTGGGGGTTGAGATAGGGTAGCGCGAGAAAAAAACTTAGCGTGTGAGCTGATGCGCAGCCCTGCATGAACCTATGGAGAAGCAGTGCATTTGTGAATGAAAATTACTGCGTGCGACTATGAAAAAAAAAATATTTAGGAGCACCAGTGCCACTGACCCGATCAGCATATTTGTGTTTGCGCTCAGGGGAGCTTCAAAGGTTTCTAACTTATTTACAACGTGTTTTTGCTGCGTTGAGTAATGTATCACAGGCAAATCTGTTGATTCCTTGAACACAATGTTAATCAGAATCCACTCACTGCTCAAACACCTGAGTTTTGTTCAGTGCTGAGTTCTGCAATCTCACGAATCCTCTCATTATACCAAACAAAGTGTCGACAGGGTGTAAATAAGAGATTCATTGTGCAGTGTAGGGAGCTTCGTCGATTATAATGGAGTTTTGTGAGATCGCAGTGAGTGAGTAACAGCTTTTAATGATTATTAAGGGAGTTTGCAAATGTGATAATACAACAGTTCATTAAAGGCACAATATGTAATTTTCGCCGCTAGAGGGCGCGTATTCAAAACAAACAAAGAGGCAAAGGCATAGTTAGATGACGGCGTGACTGAGTGTGGAATCATGGGAGTTGTGGTCTTCATCCGCACAGCCGATGCAATCCGACGGGGCTCGGGCAGAAGTCATGTTCATGGATGAGCTAGTGATTTATTAATGTAGTAGAATGAAGCAGAGTGAGGCTGAAAGCCGTCGAAGCGAAACGAGGCGCTGAACGAGTGCGACACACGGCTGGAAAGCAGCGGAGCTTTTATTACGCCACAGTCGAGCGCTTCCGCTGCTTCCGGTCGTGTGTATGTGGGGTAAAGCAGCGCTGTTTTATCATACTAGATACGTTTGAAAGTTCTGTTATAATGCTACTCTGTGCGGTCGTCACCGGTCTATTAAAACACACAACGTATTAAAGCGTCTTTAATGTTTTCTACAAAACAAAACCGGAAATCGAGGGGTTATTATGTCACTGGCAGGCGACACAATGACACACGCTCTGTGTCACTAGTTAAAATTGCTTATTTCTCTGGATTGAAACATTCTTCGAAACATTTGGGATAATGTAAGTACACAAGTCAGCAAAATATATAACACTGTTTTAGTGGTTTTTGGATATTTTAATAAAAAAATCTTACATATTTTGCCTTTAAACAAGAAATTAATATTAAGTGACTTGCATTGTCTGACTACAACACTATTGCCTGATTTTGCTCTATTTCATCAACGAAAATAGTTTCGAACAAAGTCACAGCTGAGCCGCTGCGCATTTCCAAGCAAGCACAGCGATGTTTCGTTTATGAATGAACGTGCGTTTTTAAACGAATCTGAATCAATTACCCATTCATAAAGCCAGTCACATGCTTCTTTGCTGAATGAATTAGTCATTCGAACGAATCAATTGAATGAATGATTCAGTGATCAACTCAATGATTTGCCGCCACCTACTGGCAGTTTTACTTTCATTTTTAAAGGATCTTTTCTGTTATTTAATTCGTTTAATATTTCTATATTCAAAATTTTATATTTAAAATATTAACCTCAACCACTCATGCCACCTCTGAGCCTCATTAAACGTCTGAAAATACACCTACAAGCCACTTGTGTGTTCTTCTGTGCCAACTCTTTTTTTAATACTGATTTTATTTGATTGGTAACTTATTCTTATTCTACTTGATTTTATTCTGTTGTTTTAATTAGAAATTTGAAAAAGCTTATAAATATAATTTTTTGAATTTGACATAAAATATGACATAGTTTTAATAAAGTTAGAAAAATGCCATTACAAAGGTGTAAAAACTAAATTAACTGTAAATCGCTTTAAGGAGTCAAATATCATCTTGTAATGGGAAGGCTAATATTTGATCAGAATTTTTAAATATTGATTAGAAGGTGCTCCTGAAATTTTTGACTGTGCTCCTAAATTTTTTTACATTTTAAAAGAAAAGTATGCTTAGAGTCCTGTTTACCACTTTTAATTAATTAAAAATTTTTGAAATTCTCTCAAATTTAAATCTTTTACAAGAATCACAGCAAAAACCAGTTTGATGCAAGAATATATATTTTTGTCAATATTTGAGAAATTGAATTTGAATATTACCAGTGTGGACTCCATTGACTTCAATGGATTTAATTAAATTCCTTTGAACACGACTGCTCAAAATGGTCTAAATTTATGAAACCTACACATTCAAAACGTCATTACTCTAAAATGTTTTAATGTAAATGTTAAGTGTAAGTGAAATGTCAAGTACTGTAATAGGTCTTTCATGATGCTACATATGCTGGGGTGTGAATTTGATAGGTGCTTGATATAAAATAAATGGTGCTTTAAAAAGTCCTTGAATCTGGTGTTCATGAAAGAGTGGGAACCCTGTGTCAAGGTTCAGAGAGCTTAAGCGGCTGTAGGGTCAGTCTGAGCAAATGTGTCTTACATGGGTGATGACTGTTCAGGGCTGTCGACACTATTTTTACCAGCCTGTGGAATTTGTTATTGTGTTTGGTTACACTGTGGCTTTCAGTGTTATCTTGACTCACTCGAGTATTGGAGCCACATCATGTAAGCAGCACAACTAATTATTTAATCTCTCGTGGGTTATATGACATGGTCAGCAATTTCCATTATGTTTTGAAAATAGCACAATTTCTACTTTCCTATTAATCAAGCGCAGGGTTGCCAGGACTGCACAACAAAACCAGCACAGCTGGTATTCAAATATAGCTCAGTCGTTTTCCTGAGGAAAATGTCTATAAAAAAATAAGCTCCAAAATTGCATTCCGGGGGGTTCTACCTCAGTCTAAAAAAGGAGGGAGTTTTGCGGTAACAGTATAAGAGTAGCCCAATTCAGCGGGAGATCCGCAGACTTGGCAACACTGATGAAATGGTCTCACCCCGGGTACCCTAGCAACTGCGTAGCAACACCCTAGCAACCACCCCGGGTACCATAGCAACCGCATAGCAACACCCTAGCAACCACCCCGGGTACCTTAGCAACCACATAGCAACACCTTAGCAACCACCCCAGGTACCTTAGCATCCGCATAGCAACACCATAAAAACCACATAGAAACACCATAGAATCTACATCTAAAATTTCTATCTATCTATCTACTTTTTCTGATAGATTGCATTGTCTTTAAAACTTTAAACTTTAAAACTACTTTAAACTTCAAACTAGTTAAAACTGAAAACCTTCAAATTTAAAGCTTTTAAAACTACTTCAAACTTTCTAGCTAGGCTTTTTCAAGCCAACTTAAAGTTTGCCTACAAACTTTACTATCTAGTTATAATTATGATGCCACGTTGTCACTTCATGACCCCTAAAACCCACCAGTTATTAAAAATATTAAATAAAATGCTTACCGATGACTGTTTGTTACTAGCAGACAGTCTTCTCCTATGCTCGTGAAAAACAAAATGCATAGCTCACCTAAGGCTGAAATGATCTGCAAACATGATCAGAGTGGGCTGTTTATGGGTTTCTATGTTTGTGTGTCTCAGCTGATATGGGGTTTGCCCGACTCTTTAACTCTCCACTGAAGCCTTTGGCCGATCTGGACCCAGTGGTCGTCACATTCTGGTACCGAGCACCCGAACTACTGCTCGGGGCGAGACACTACACCAAAGCAATCGGTACGTTATGTGTTGTGTGTATTTCAGGCTGTATTCTTTGTTATCTGTACTTAATATTCTTGGACTTTTTTTCAGATATTTGGGCAATAGGCTGTATCTTTGCGGAGCTGTTGACGTCAGAACCAATCTTCCACTGCCGACAAGAAGACATAAAGACCAGCAATCCTTTCCATCACGACCAGTTAGATCGCATATTCAGCGTCATGGGCTTCCCAGCAGGTGACTGACCTTAACTTATCGTATGGCCACCTTTACTCTGCCTCACTGTACTACTCTCAGGATTTGATTTGAATTAAATGGAAACATTTTTACATCACTTGTGTTAGACTGATCAGTTTAGATGCATCTAAACTGGAATGAATGTGGGCCCTCTTCCCACATGTATTTGAGCTGCAAGTTTGATATATTACTTGCATATATTAGTGTTACTGTTTGGAGTCATTAGTTTCATGGGTTTATATGAACTTTGCATTTGAAAGTGAATCTTCTACAAATGCATATGCAGTAAGATTAGCATCGCAAAAATAGTTTTTTAACACTGAAAGAGCGTTTGTTTGCACCGAATTTGATGCAGTGTGCTTCTGAAAAACTCTCATTGAATTTAAATTTTTTTGCTACTGGGGTTTTGATACAGGTAGAGTTTTTGGTAGAGTAATTACAGATGTTAACGACTGCACAGTACATGCTCTTAGGTGTACTTACAGTGTACTTACCTTCGAAAAGTACTGGGTACTGCATGAGTAATCGGAGTTAAGGTTGGGTTTGGGGGTAGGATGAGGTTTAGTACCTAGTTATTAACACCTTTATTGTAATTACTGTAATAAGTGCATGTACATGCAGGACTGTTCAGTAAAGAGCTAGCAGTAAAGGCAGATGCTTTAATTGTAAGTACAGTGTATCAAATGCACACAATAGTACCAAATAATTGTATCAAATGCATAATTTTCAAAAGTACATAGTAGTTGGAGACACATAACAAGTGAGTTCATGTGTTATCATTAGTCCTTATTTAGACTCGTAGCCTTGTTAAATGTCACTGTGCACTATTATATTATGTTTATGTGTAATTCCTAGATAAAGACTGGGAAGATATCCGGAAAATGCCAGAATATCCTACGCTACAGAAAGATTTCAGAAGAACCACGTGAGTGCGGCGCTCTGTTCCAGAGTAACAACGCATTTCTTCTCAACAGCAAAAACAAAATAAGTGTTCATGTTATGTCATGATTTATATTCATATATGTGAGTGTTTGTCTGAGAACAGCAAGGCAGTGCATCCGTTCAGTTCTGTATTGTTTGAACACAGCTAACTTAGTATATGTATTATATTTTGTGTAAAGACTAGCTATACCTAGAGTTTTACCACTGAGAGTGTATATATAGTTATTCTTTGAATGTGTATTGCAGATATGCCAACAGCAGTCTTATCAAATACATGGAGAAACATAAAGTCAAACCAGACAGCAAAGTGTTTCTACTGGTGAGTCTACTGTACACTTGTTTCAAATAGTATGGAATCAACTTTACACTGAAGACGTCTTAGACACATTATATGTTTCACAAAATGTTAGTTTTAAGGTGGTTGGTTACATATGTAAATCATTTGCTTTAGTGTTGCAGTAGGAAATTAACATTTTAGACATTCCTTTTGCAAATATTGCAATAATCCAGTCAAATTTGTAAACGAAGGAGTCCTACAACAGCTATTGGCATGGTCCACACAAAGATCTGATCCCACCATCACAGAGTCATTCTTGGATTACATGAAGATAAATACAGTCAGGTCCGGGAGCATTCAAACACTGACAGAGTTTTTGTGCTTTTGCCTTTATGCACCACTACAATGGAATTGAAATCAAACAATCAAGATGTGATTGAAGTGCAGACTTTAAGCTTTAGTTCAAGGGGTTGAACAAAAATATAACATGAAATGCTTAGGAATTACAACCATTTTTATACACAGTCCCCCCATTTTCAGGGGCTCAGATGTAATTGGACAAATGTGACCCTGGAGCACAAAAGCAGTGTTAAGTCGCTGGGGGATATTTGTAGCAATAGCCAACAATACACTGTATGGGTCAAAATTATAGATTTTTCTTTTATGCCAAAAATCAAGATATTAAGTAACAATCATGTTCCATGAAGATATTTTGTAAATTTCCTACCGTAAATATATCAAAACTTAATGTTTGATTAGTAATATGCATTGCTAAGAACTTCATTTGAACAACTTTAAAGATGATTTTCTCAATATTTAGATTTTTTTGCACCCTCAGATTCCAGATTTTCAAATAGTTGTATCTCAGCCAAATATTGTCCTATCCTAACAAACCATACATCAATGGAAAGCTTATTTATTCAATGTATACATCTCAATATCAAAAAATTGACACTTAAGACTGGTTTTGTGGTCCAAGGTCACAAATAAATGTAATCATACATAAAATGTTCATTTTTAATACTTTGTTGAGAATCCTTTGCAAGCGATGACTGCCTTAAGTCTGGAACTCAAGGACATCAGCAGAGACTGGGTTTCCTCCTTCATGATGCTTTGCCAGGCCTTTACTGCAGCTGACTTCAGTTGTTGTTTGTTTGGCCTTTCTGCCTTTAGTTTTGTCTTCAGCGAGTGAAATGCTGCTAAATCGGGTTGAGATCAAGAGATAGACTCAGCCATTGCAGAATAATCCACTTTTTTACCTTCACAAACTCCTGGGTTGTTTTTGCTGTATGTTTTGGGTCATCGTCCATTTGTACTATGAAGCACCGTCCAGTCAACTTTGCTCTATTTGACTGAATCTGGGCAGAGAGTATATCCCTGTACACTTCAGAATGCATCCGGCTGCTTCTGTCTTCTGTCACGTCATCACTAAACACCAGTAACCCAGTGCCACTGGACACCATGCACGCTCATGCCATCACACTGCTCCATGTTTCACAGATGATGCTGTGTGCTTTAGATCATGAGCTGTTCCAAGCCTTCTCCAGACTTCTTTCTTCCCGTCATTCTGGTACAGTTTGATCTTAATTTCAGCCGTCCACAAAGAATGCTTTTCCAGAAGTGGTCTGGCTTTTTTAAGGCCGGGACACACCAAGCCGACGGTCGGCCATCTGTGATTTTCTGTCTGCCTCCTGGAGAGTGTTCTTCTCTTGGCTGGATGTTGTGAAAGGGTTTTTCTGTACCATGGAGAGGATCCTCCGATCATCCACCACGGATGAGCAGACAATGTAGATTGCCCATTTAAAAGTCCAGGCTTTTTTATGTTGCTGAGCTCACCAGTGCATTCTGTTTTTCCGCAGAATGTACCAAACTGTTGATTTGGCCACTCCTAATGTTCCTGCGATCTCTCTGGTGGATTTGTTTTGTTTTTGAAGCCTAACAATTGTCTGTTTCACTTGCATGGAGAGATTCTTTGACCGCATGATGTGAGCTCAATGCAAATGGCACACTTAGAATCAAGTCCAGACCTTTTACCTGCTTAATTGATGTATAAATAACGCAGGAATAGCCCACATCTGTTCATGAAATGGCTTTTGAGTCAACTGTACAATTACTTATGGTCCCTTGAAAAAGGGGGGAGGTACATATTAAAGAGATGTAATTCCTTAACCTTTCCTCCAATTGTGATGAGAATACCCCCAAATTAAAGCTCAGAGTGTGCACTTTAAGCCCATATTCTATGCATATTACATAACTGTAACTTGAATATGTTTCGGTCAGCAGCTAAAATAATAAAAATTGTGCCTGTGTCCAAATATATATGGACCTGACCGTATAAGCAATTTTGTTATCCTGCTCTGTATTAGAGTGTTTCTTACGTAAAAACTTTGGAAGTTTTGTGAAATAATTAGTTAATGTTCTATCTATCTATCCATTCTATTTATCTATCTATTTGTTCAGTATCGGTTAGTTAGTCTATTAAACTGCCGCATTTAGTGTCCATGCATCCAATTTGACCAAAAAACACGCCCGATCATAGCTTCAACACCAACTAGTCAACTAATGATCTAATCTAGTTCATCCTTCCCACAGTAATTAATCTAATCTAATCTAGCTCCAGAAATTGCTGACTATGGACCCCACCAAAAGAATCACTTCTGAGCAGGCACTGCAGGACCCATATTTCCTGGAGGATCCTTTACCTACGTCTGAGTAAGACTCATTCCACATGCACACACATTTAGACACATGCTAAGTAATCTCAGAGTAGAAAATTGTGGACACCCAAACACCACACACACATGTGCTTGTTCAACATGTACTTTTCAAAACAATTAGCATTAATAGGGAATTAATCTTCTCTAAAAGCTTCCCAACTGTAGAAACAAGGCTTTGGGAAGTTCATTCATCTAATTCATGTTCAGTAGGGTTCATGTCTGAGCTTTGGTTTGGACTCAATGGATCTTTTTTTTTTTATGGAACTCACGTCATGTCGTTCTGTGCCATTGCAATAAGATTTGCTTTCACTGGAACTTAGCCAAACCCTTAAATTAGAAGTGGGTGTCTGCTTTCTTTTCACTATGTAGTGTAGCATACCACAAATATTTCCTGTTTTTCCTCTTTCAAACAGCTTTTATAGCTGCTTAAACGAGAATCATAGTTGTTCACCTGCAATTAATTTACCAAATTTGCATGAGAAACGTATGCAGTTCCTATAAAAACTGCTTTAATGTATTCTTTGTGTGCATGTGTGTGTTTTTAGTGTATTTGCAGGATGTCAGATTCCCTACCCCAAACGAGAGTTTCTAAGTGAGGATGAACCAGAGGAGAAAACAGAGAAGGTAACAATGGCTGATTAAAAAACTTAAGTTTTTCTCACACTGCGTCCGGTTCTGATTTGTTTTTTTAGATGTGATCTTTAGCACTGACTTTCCAGACTGTAATTTTGCAAAGAAGGAAATCAGATCCTTTTGTTTGGATATGTTGTCGATCTACATTGGTTGCAACGACAAGAAACATATAAGAAGTAGACTAGAAATGTTTATATCTCTAATATCTCTGATCATATACCTGTTATGTTTAATGTTTTCTATCCATGTAAACCCTCCACTCTTCAGCCTGTTTTGTTCTGTTCCCATGTTATTATTTCATCCACAGCTCTGGACTTCACAGAAGTTTATATAGCCACCTCATTTTTGAGATTGATTAGGTCTCCCCTCCTTCTGTTGGTCCAGAGGAGTTAGTCACAGTTTAACTGTGTTTGTACAGACATTGTTGACTCTGTTGCGCCATATAAAGTCAGGAAATATAAAATTCATTCAGAACCATGGCTTAAGAATCAAACTTGCATCCTTAGGCAGGAATGCAGGAACTCTGAATGGAAATTCAATAAGAAATAGTTACAAGTCTCTTTTATATTTTAAGGGGAGAATTTGATGAAGAGCTGTGCAGGCATATCGTTTTGCACCATAAATAGATTATTCATTTCAGCTGGAGGACTGCGTTTAAGTCCATCCTCATATACAGACATGTTCCTGAAATAAATTTTGGAAAAATTAATGGGATTAGATTTAATTATAAGCTTACTTTTTGTTTTTGTGATGTGATTCCATATTCCATTGGACTTAGAATTCAAGGGACAAGGGAAGGATTTTTTCCTCTCTCTTAAGGACAGATTACTGTCCTCGGTACCTATTACTTGTGGGGTCCCTCAAGGATCTGTTGTAGGACCTATGCTATTTTCTTTGTACATGTTTCCTTTGGCCTTACATTTTTTATTTAAATATGGTGTAGATAATGTGTGGGCTATATTTGCTTTTCAGACTACCAACCACTGAACTCGTTTGATTTCGTTTTGTGGCCTGTCTGCACAGCCATAGGCGGTTATACAGTGGTTATTGTAAGTATGAGAAGTTTTGAAGCTCACTTTAGCAAAGTTGTAGGTCTGAAAACTTCAAAGGACATTGTGAGCACTTTGGTGCTCCAGGGAGATTGTCCCTGTAAAATGTGTACTGCAAACTACTTTGGATAAAAGCATCTGCTAAAATGGCTGCTTTCTTATAGTCTCTACTGCTAATTTGTAATGTTACTCATTCCAGTGGAACTAAGAGGGAAGCTGAGTGTAGGTGCAGAAAAGAGAGAACAGCAGAGCAAGAGCTCAGATAGCACTGTTTTTAAGCTTTGCACTCGGTCACTGAAGGATGAAATGAATCCAAGCAAAAGGCAAACAAACAAACACACACACAGCATAAAATAACCATCTCACGTTTGCAATGCTGGAGTGAGCCAATATTTACTTGTACATTTAGTGGCTTTGGCCACACCATATAATGCTCATGCAACTGCTGCTTTTCTTGATAGCACAATTTCAGGATGGCTGTGAGTGTATTTGAGGAAATTAACCTCGCAAACATATCCGAACCACACATCCATTATTACAGAGTCCTACAGACACGGATTGGGTTCCTACAAAGGCCCTGATTTACAAAAGTTTGCGTGTACAAAAAATATGCACACACAAAAAAGCTGCATCTAATAACACTAGTCTACTTAAGATTGCATCTTTTATTCTCTTGTGACATTTTCAGTGGGTTTCCCTTAATGAATTTGGTAATTTGGAACATTTCCTCATTCATACACAAAACACAAGATGCTGTCATTGCATACCCAGTGCATTCATGCAAAATTAAATTATTTATTATGAGCAATTGTTTTGTTCAAATATATATTTATTTAAGTAATCATCATAACTAAGCTAATGCTGCCCAGCATGTCAACAAACATCTTAGGATGTTTTTAACATGTATTCCTAGTCTACACAGGACTCTTGGATATTTTACAGCAACTTATCCAGTTAGATTTCAGAGCTAGAAATATGCCATTTTGATTAATGTAGATTTTTGACTGTGTCTTTGAGATGGATGTTATATATGATATCACACTATTTAATTTAAAGACAGTAAATCGCACATTCACAACAATTGCATTCCGTCACTTTCCATCAATCAAATTTATATTTATTTTATATAATATTTTTGTCTATACAAGCTTGTTAATTGCAATGGAAATAATTCTTACATTCTTCGCTGGCCTAGTGGACCCAATGTAAAAGAAAGAAAGCTCACAAAAATATAAATTAATGTCAATTTAAAGAGACAAGTGACATCCAAATCGTCCAAACCTTCTTTTTAATGATCTCTCTTTTATACATTCCTGTTTTCACGTTTTTATAGCCATTCCTGGCACACAAGACCTTTTTGTCATCTCTCTATATATACTCATCAGTTACCAATCCCTTCTCTCTCCATATATGCTGACATAAGACAAGTGTGGATAGTAAAACTTGACAGCAACTAAAGGGAAAGGGCTAAAAGTTCTTCAACTACCAAGACCTGAATATAAAGTGGAGTTTGGTTCAGTTTTTTTGAACCAAACCATGATACAAATGATATTTTGTAAAAATAAAAATAAAAATCCACCAGTGTATTGCACACCGAAAGAACTGTTATCTATGTGCACCCTGCCACTGTAATGTTCTTGTTCATCGTGGTCTTACAAAAGTTTTAGTGTTTGTTGTTGCTAAATAATAAAATCCTGAAATTAATAGAATAGAATAGAATACGCCTTTATTGTCATTGTATACAACGAAATTAGGAGCACTACTCCTGACTGGTGTTAGAAAAACAAACATATAACCACAGACAATAAATACTATAAGACTGTACAGTACAATTTTACAAGTAAATACAACAAGTGACTGAGTCCTGATATTCACATTGAGCAATCCGAGTAAAGTGACCATTTATAGTATTGCACGTTGGCCTTCACCTTGATATGCACAGTAAGTTTATACAAAAGTACAATTTAAATGGAATGAGTAACTGTGGTGATTTAGTGACTAGAGATAGTATTTCACATTGACATATAGTGTATATTATTGCACATATATTATTGCACCTTTACTGCAGATATAGTGTTCACATTTAATATGGTATTATGGTATTTCACCATGACATACTATTTAGTGCATTGTTTGAAGTTCTGATAAATAAATTGTTCAGACAGCACATACTGCGATTGACATACTGCATATTGTACAGTATTGTATATTGCATGTTGTATAGCAGCAATATAGACAGAAGAGATTTGAGTGAAATAAGTGACTGTAGTTAAAAGAATAACGTGGTTGGAATAGTATTTTGGCATTAGTGCATTTTATGAGTTTAAAGTCCTGATAGCAACTGGGAAGAAACTGTTCTGTAAGCGAGTGGTTTTTGCTCTTAAGGATCTGTACCGCCTGCCTGAGGGCAGAAGATTAAACAGGTGGTGTCCTGGATGGGATGTGTCCTTGATGATGTTTTTGGCCCTTGAGAGATAATGGGAGCGAGCAATGCTTTCCAGGGAGGGTAGTGAGCAGCCCATGATTTTTTGGGCTGTGTTGATTATTCTTTGGAGGGCTTTCTTGTCTGCTGCAGTGCAACTGGAGTACCACACTGAAATGCAGTACACTAACACACTCTGTATGGTAGAGCGGTAAAAGGTAACCAGCAGCTTACACTCTATGTTGTTCTTCCTAAGCACTCTGAGGAAGTGCAGCCGTTGCTGTGCCTTTTTGATCGTTGCAGAGGTGTTAGCAGACCAAGACATGTCTTTGGATAAGTGTACTCCCAGGAATTTGAAGATGCGGACCCTTTCAGCACAGTCCCCATTGATGTAGAGTGGGGCTGGCTCAGTATGGCGCCTCCTGAAGTCCAGAATGAGCTCTTTTGTCTTAGAGGTGTTCAGGGACAAGTGTCCTTGATGATGTTTTTGGCCCTTGAGAGATAATGGGAGCGAGCAATGCTTTCCAGGGAGGGTAGTGAGCAGCCAGTGATTTTTTGGGCTGTGTTGATTATTCTTTGGAGGGCTTTCTTGTCTGCTGCAGTGCAACTGGAGTACCACACTGAAATGCAGTACACTAACACACTCTCTATGGTAGAGCGGTAAAAGGTAACCAGCAGCTTACACTCTATGTTGTTCTTCCTAAGCACTCTGAGGAAGTGCAGCCGTTGCTGTGCCTTTTTGATCATTGCAGAGGTGTTAACAGACCAAGACATGTCGTTGGATATGTGTACTCCCAGGAATTTGAAGGTGCGGACCCTTTCAACACAGTCCCCATTGATGTAGAGTGGGGCTGGCTCAGTATGGCGCCTCCAGAAGTCCAGATTGAGCTCTTTTGTCTTAGAGGTGTTCAGGGACAAGTTGTTTTCAGAGCACTACTCCTCTAGTTTCTGGACTTCATCTCTATATGCTGACTCATCATCTCCTGAGACGAGTCCGATCACTGTGGTATCATCTGCAAATTTGATGATGGTGTTGGTGGGATGAGTGGGAGTACAGTCATATGTGTACAAGGAGTAGAGTAGAGGGCTCAATACACACCCTTGTGGAGAGCTAAAAGTGTGATGGGTGGAGGAGAGGTGGGAGCCGAGCTTAACAGTTTGTGGGCGGTTTGTGAGGAAGTCCTTTTATCCATGTGCAGATGGAGGGGGAGAGGCCCAGTTCCGATAATTTGCTGATTAGAATGTCTGGGATAATTGTATTGGAACGCTGAACTGTAATCTATGAAGAGCATTCTTACATAGGTTCCCTGCCGTTCATGGTGGTTAAGTGCAGTGTAAAGGGCTATGGTGATGGCATCATCTGTAGACCTATTTGCTCTGTAAGCAAACTGGTGTGGGTCAAAGGTGGGGGGAAGGCAGGTTTTGATGTGCTGTGAGACCAATCTCTCAAAGCACTTCATGATTACTGGTGTTAGTGCAACCGGTCTGTAATCGTTTAAACTGCTGGTGACTGCTTTTTTAGGAACAGGGATGATGGTGGCTGATTTTAAGCAGGGTGGTATGATGGCTGATGTCAGTGAAAGATTGAAGATCTTTGTAAAGACTCCAGAAAGCTGGTTGGCACAGGCTTTGAGTACTTTGCCAGATACTCCATCCGGACCAGCAGCCTTTCTTGTGTTTACAGTTTTGAGTACTCGTCTCACCTCATATTCCTGTAGGGTGAGATGGCACGTGCCAGAGGTTGGTGAAGGTGCTGAAGTAGTTGTGGATTTCTTAACCTCAAAGCGGGCAAAGAAATGGTTAAGTTCCTCAGCCAGTGAAGCATCAGCGTTGACAGTGCTGTGGTTATTGTTCTTATAATTGGTAATGCTCTGAATACCCTGCAACACTCTTCTTGGATTTTTGTCTGTGAGGTGGTCCTCAATTTTCTTTTTATACTCTTCTTTGGCAAGTTTGATGCCTCTCTTTAAGTTGGATCTAGCAGTGCTGTATGAAGCTTTGTCACCAGACCTGAAGGCGAAGTCACGTTCTTTGAGTAATGACTGCACTTCACATGTCATCCAGGGTTTCTGATTGAAATTTTTGTTGACAGTGACATTTTCCGTGCAGTTTTTAATGTAGAACAAAACAGATTCTGTGTATTGTTCCAGGTCCTGATGTTCAAATACCTCCCAGTCTGTTCGTTCAAAGCAGTCCTGCAGCTGAGAGAGATATTCCTCAGGCCAAGTTTTTATGATCTTTGTGACCGGTTTTGTTTTCCTCCTCAGTGGAGTGTATGCTGGGAGAAGAAGCAGTGAACAGTGATCTGACTGTCCCAGGTGGGGGAGAGGTGCGGCCTTGTAGGCATTCTTAATGTTGGAATACACATGGTCCAGTGTATTTTCCCCTCTGGTCGCACACTTAACATATTGGGTGAAATAAGGTAGTACTGTTTTCAGACACGTCTGATTAAAATCACCCGCTATGATGTGCACTCCGTCTGGATGGTTCCGTTGGTGTTCATTTATAGTGCTGTGTAACTGAGTGAGAGCTGCGCTAGCGTTAGCGTCTGGTGGAATGTACACCGCACCTCAGGAACCAGTGTTCTTCAAACAGACTACCAGGTAAAAGAAGAGCCTCGAGGGGGCGCTGGGGGGGCAGAGATCTGAATTCTCCATTCTCCTGCATTTCAGATTTAAAAAAAATGGTGCATGTTAAACAAGCATAGCATCTCATAATCCTCCAGAAAACAGTTGTGCTGCGCAATATTTTTGTGGAAACTGTGAAACAGTCAAGTTTCCCTATCTTGTCCTCTTACTTGACCGCAGCAGTTCCTATGGTAATATCCTAACACAGAGAATAGCCCTAAATAATGCAGTTCCTCAGTCTTTCCTCTTCAGACACCCCGCTGAAAGCGTGTCCTAGCACAACCTAGCGTTCAGCCAGCGATAACACCAGTATAATGGGTATGAACACAGATATAATTCCAGTGTGAAGATTGTGAAAACTTGCCAAGTCTAAATCTGACCACTTATAACACAAAAATCTGAACTTTTTACATTTTTATTGAAGGCACGGAGTAATCATTCATAATGTAAGCAGGAATGTGTAAGTGGATTTAGTATCTAGATATTATAGATATTCCTCCACCAAATGTTTCCTTTACTTGTTTGTAAGACTGACGTTGATTATGAATGTTATACCCAACATTGAGAATGAATTCTGTACCCAACATGACCGTTTATAACATAAAGAATGCAATCCAAATGTAATTTAATGGAGCTGTCAACACTTGAAACTCTGTCAGTTTGTTGATTTAAAGCTGTTTTAAAAGAGATAACTTATTTTATTCACAAGTGTCATGCTTGTGATTTTTATTTTTTTTTATGTAGACTATTTTGGTCCCCCAAACAATAAAATTAAAAAAATAGATGCAGGCCCATACTATTTTATTTATTTATGCTTAACTTTTATCACATTGTAAGATTGCTTCACAATATTATATTTAAAAAGGTAAACCACTGCCTGTTCTGAATTCATAGCCCACACAATACAGTTTCGTATTTTATTCTTTAAAACTAAATAAAAATATTTGACAAAATTGCAAACATAAATATGAATGATATTTAACACATCTCTTGCCATAGCATATAGCACAATCTGACAGAAGTTGCAATCAGCCATCAAAGTAGTCAGAGCTGAACAGACAAACTCTTGCTGTGCATCCAGCAACAAGAGTCATTCGAAACACATCAGGTGTGTAAATGAAATAAATGTTTATTATGTAGCAATATACAAGTTAGTCATGTTCAGTTAGTTACACATTAGTGTTCAGCTCAGTATTACAAAAAACTTGGTCAATGCTTGGTCATGCAAAATACTTGATCATTTTAATAATTCATTTTTGTTCTTCATTGCAGCACTCCAGCTCGCGGCTTGGTTACCAGAGCACTGTCCAAGGCTCTACTCAGTCGCAAAGCACTATGGGATACTCGTCCTCATCTCAGCACTCTCATCAGTCTCATCGATACTGAGACTCAAAAACGTACATAAGCACTTAAAATAAATATTAACCACAAGCATAAAGCCAGGCAAGTCAGCGTTGTGATTCAAAAATGGATTGCTGGGTCTGTCCCGTAATACGGCCCCAACATAAACATAAAACCCAAGTTTATTCCCTTACAAAGCCTCCTGCCATCCCACAATCCTCAGCAAATGCTACTCCAACCAAAGCACAACTTTACAATCCCTTTCTTTCGATCAGAGCTCCTCAAAAGAAGCAGCGCCATAATTGGGCATTTTCCTCAATATCTCAAGTTTTTCAGTATACTGTATTACAACTTCCACCAGCTCTGACACCAACCATACCTACGAGTCTGCTGACTGTTCAGCATCTTTAATGCTTATTCATTCTTATTTTACCACCGTTAGACCAAAACAGTCTCAAAATGATCAGCCAAATGCTATTCGGGTCATAGCTACAGATAGAAGTGACATGAGGCTTGTTACAATTGGTCGTTAAAGGGTTAGTTCACCCAAAAATGAAAATTAGCCCATAAATTACTCACCCTCAAGTCATCTTAGGTGTATGTGACTTTCTTCTTTCAGACGAATCCAGTCGGGAGTTATATTAAAAATGGTCTTTGCTCTTTCAAGCTGTTTAATGGCAGTCAGCGGGTGTTGCATGCATCAGTCCAAAAGAAGTGAAATAAAAAGCGCCCATCCATAAAGTCTCTCACACGGCTCCGGGGGCTGAACAAAGGCCTCCTGTAGCGAATCGATGCGTTTTTGTAAGAAAAATAGCCACATTTAAAACGTAATAATCACTTTAATGTAGCTTGCACTCTTACAAAAAATTCTATATTTTTTTACTTTGCTGCCCGTTATTATTGTGGGTTTATCATCTGAGATTCCCCCGTTTGACAACCCTGAAACACATCAAATAGAGACATCTACGGTATATAAGCAATTGTACATAGGAACCGAAATCCCCTTTTATCCTCTCTCCCAGTAAAGGGAGCTGCCTGCATGTACAGACAGTCGAGCAGAGACTGGATTTGTGTAACATATGTGTGCATATTTTAAAGACTGAACAAAGAGCATCTCTCATAGCTATCGTGCACCACTGCATTATTACACACATCATCTTTTGTTGTGTAAGAGATTTTTTATTTAAATTTTTTTTAAATATACACTCACGCAATACACTTTTCATCAATTTTTTGCGTTAGTTGCAACAATAACAGCCAATAAAAATAACATCAGCTATAAAAGAACATGGACATGGTTTACTCTTTCTCTTTTTTGCAGAAGAACATGTTTTAGGATTTTGGTCCGGACTAAAATTCCTAAATCCGTGTGTGTGTGTGTGTGTGCGTGCATGGATATACTTGCATGTGTGTGATTATCCGGGGCAGCTAGCAGTTGAACTGCTATTTCTTGTCTCCTCTTTGTGTTTTATATGCTTTTATAATCTGTTTATTGTTGGTTATTGTTTTGAAGTGCAGTTATTTCTTTGTGTTATTTGAGCTCAGTTTGTGGACTGGAAGTGAGGGTTTTTTTTAGAGCGCTGAATCAAACAAGGGCAGCTGAGTCGCTCCTCTGACAAACAGTTGGATTTCTCATCAGGCAAAGCCGGGACTTCAGCTGTGTGTATTACAGGTCCTTCCAAGCCGTGTTTGAAACACTGAAACTTTGTGGTGCGCAATATGTGTTGCACAATTAATCGGACAACTTGGTGGAATATACGTGCTCAAACAGGATTCAAAGGAAATCTTGAAACAGAGTCTTTTGTTTTAAGCTTTATGGAAGCGGGTCAGTTTGAAAGACCCTGAAGGATAATGGAAGTGGATTGCAGTCACCCACAGCGTGAACTGAGACTGACAGTTGATGTTTGCAGAACAAGTGTAGCTAATGGTCAGTTACTGCCATCATACTCTTCTGTCCCATCTTAAGATTGCTTGTTTTTCTGTTCTAATGTGCTTCGTATTTCTGGTAAAAGCAATCAAAAAACAAGTGTTATTTCACTATTTTTCCACCCCCTGTTGTGGGTTTCTTCTCACATCAGAGTTGTACAATTGTGTCAAAATGTTTTTAAAGCCTAGATAAACAAAGATTTATGATTCACAAATGAGGTTGTGACATGTATAAAGTATAAATATTTCAGATTCACCCTGTCTGTGAAATCCGGGCTAAAGTCTCAAAATCTAATTATGAGATAACAAGCATCAAAGTTTGATTTCAACCAATAATTTCACTATGATTTCAATCTTTGACATGGCCTTACTCAGTCAATATGAAAGATATAAAGGTTATATTTTCACAGAACGTTCTACATCGTTATGAAGGATGATTTTATGTAGAAAACCGTAAATCACACAAAAAATGACTTTAGCTGGGTTTTCACAGGCAGGGTCACATTTTTATAATTACATTATACAAAAGTCAATTTTTTTTGCTTTCTTTCAAGATGCTTTTTGAACATTCTCAATCGTGCCAGATGACATGGGCAGCTTGTATGCTGCGTAGCAGAAGAAATTTGTGTGCTTTGTTTTGCTATTTTACTTTTTAATGTAAATTGTTATGCTGATTATATAATATATATGATGACGACTTTTTATTTTTATTAGAATAGTTTTCATCGATAGTGTTCTCAGACGTTTAGACACTGCTGTACAGGTTTATTACATTTTCTGATATTTATAAGTCTAGGATACCCAGGGGGTGGATTTTTGTGGAGCATTACCAGCCACCATTGACTGAAATGATGGACTAACATTAGTTTCATATTATGTTGTTTATTTCAGCAAAATAAGAGGAACTGTTGTACAATGTAGTTGGTGCATATCAGATTTGGTGTCATATCTTTAGTTTGATAATGTTTCAACCTCTTTCCTGTTTTATTCAGTTTTCCCAAATTTTCAGCAGAATACACTGAGAATGCAAATAACAAAATAAATAATGGCAAACATATTGTTTCTGTAGATTGTGACATTTACAGTGGGAGGTTTATCACACTACTTCTTGTTTCTTTCAGTGAGAAACTTTGGCATCGTAAGACTTGCATGAAGGTCATGGGGATTTCCATATCTTGAAATTATATATTGGTCATAATTTTGTCATGATACGCTGGGATTGATTTTAAGCACCAAAACAGACCCCTAGTTCTGAAGCTTTTCGGAATTTATTTCTTTATCTATTGGGGAAGAAATCTTTTATCCTCCTGTTATGCGTTTTATACTGCTTAAAAAAAAATCTACAAATCCATAAAAATATTTTTTCCTATTTTTCAGAGCTCATTAAGAAACAAATTTGGACAAATTTTAACCCGGACCGATTATGAAGATGAGATTTTGACAAAATTGTCTGTGAACAACATAAAGTAACATTTAAAGTGACAACAAAACACCTTCTCTTTGTCATTGAAAACTGATTTTCATATGGGCATCTCTTTAGCTTAACCTTGATAGGGGACTTTAGAAGGTCTTTGTACTGAGTACAAGTTATGACAATCAGATTGCAAGCTGATTTTCTGAAAAGATGTTCTAGAATGAAAATATTGGCAAATCAGTTTGCATTAGTTCATCAGGTTGCATTGTCATCATTAACCACAGACAATAACACATTGAGAATACACTGTAAGAGGCACATCTCATGAGACTGAGACTGTCTCGGATAAATCAAGACATCTGGTCAACCTAATTGCACTCTATATGGCTCCCACTATGGTAACTTTCATACATGCCCCGCTATAAAAACCTGTTTAAACCAGCCTAATCTCATTTCCTGGTATTACAAGCTAGTGTCTCACAGTCTGATCGGCTAAAAGTGCACAAAACTCCTAAAACCAGCTGGGGTACCAGTTAAAACCAGTTTAAACTGAATTATAATATTTTATGCAAAGGAAAGAAAACATTTAGTTGTGCTACAGTGTAGAAGGGAGCTCAAAAACCAACATTTTCTTAAGAACAGACACTTTTTTTAACAGTTGTATTATGGAATCACTGAAGTCGTTCCCAAATTTTCAGCAGAATACACTGAGAATGCAAATAACAAAATAAATAATGGCAAACATATTGTTTCTGTAGATTGTGACATTTACAGTGGGAGGTTTATCACACTACTTCTTGTTTCTTTCAGTGAGAAACTTTGGCATCGTAAGACTTGCATGAAGGTCATGGGGATTTCCATATCTTGAAATTATATATTGGTCATAATTTTGTCATGATACGCTGGGATTGATTTTAAGCACCAAAACAGACCCAAGCACGTGTTTGTGTAGTTTTTTTACATTATTTTGAAATTATGATAGACTGTAAATGAAATTGTGGGTGTGTTTATGTATAACAGATTATATGAGAAACACTGTTTAAGAGTGTTATTCTTAAATAATGTTTAAAAACATATTTGGCTTCAGTTTGTCATATATATACAGAGTTCTGGCATGAAACTCTAGATGGCGCAGTCTGATAGGTCTAACTCAATCTGACCTAATGACAGATTTGCAACCATGATCTGATGGCCTTGAAGAAGCCATACATATATTATTGTCCTATTAATTCTTCCTCTTACAGTGATGTTTTTTGAAAAGGCTTCGGTGGATGTTTGTTTATACGTTTAAACACCATGTTATTAGTGCACTGTTATTGCTGAATTATTTAGTGGTAATTCCTTATATTTTATTGATGTTTTGTTTATGTGTATGTGTACACTACACATATGGCATTTATAATACAGAAATAAGCAAGAGAATAAACTTACATGCATTTATATGATAAAGACCTCTATGTCTGCAGATTTGTCCTCTGATGAAACGTCTGGTGCATGTTTGTTTTTCATTCCAAACCCTGAACGGACACGTTCATAAATGTTCCTTTTTGGCTTGCTTTTTTATAATGCCTCCTCATGTGATCTTGCTTCCTTAGCATGTGCTTATATATATATATACAGTGCCGTGAAAAGGTTTTTAAAAAATATTTTTTGCATATTTGTCACACGTAAAAGATTCAGATAATCAAACCAATTTTAATATTACGCAAAGATAATGCAAGTAAATACAAAATGCAGTTTTTAAATGATGATTTCATTTATTAAGGGAAAAAAGCTGTCCAAACCTACCTGGTCCTACGTGAAAAATTAATTGCCCCTCCTCTTAAATCATGAAAGAACTGTGATTAACCACATCATTTTAGAAAGCGGAGTTAAATTTCACTAGCCACACGCAGGCCTGATTACTGCCAGACCTGTTGAATCAAGAAATCACTTAAATAGAAGCTGTCTGATAAAGTGAAGCGTGCTTAAAGAGCAACACATCATGCCACAATCTAAAGAAATTCAAGAACAGATGAGAAACAAAACAGTTGACATGTATCAGTCTGGAAAGGGTTATAAAGCCATTTCTAAGGCTTTGGGACTCCAGTGAACCATGGTCAGAGCCATTATCCACAAATTGAGAAAACTTGGAACAATGGTGAACCTTCCCAGGAGTGGCCGGCCAACCAAAATTACTCCAAGAGCACAATGACGACTCATCCAAGAGAACAACAGAACAACATCTAAAGAACTGCACGCCTCA